AAAGGTTGTGATGCACAAAATGGGCTGCAGAGAGAAGTTTGAGGAGGGGGAGGGTCATTAATTTGTAATAAAAATTAAATTATAAAATGGACAGTTCTGGCTCGAAAATCTGATTCGATGAGAAGTTGCAAAATGGCCGACATTCACACACCTGCAGGGCTAATGCAAGTGTCCCAGGACACATTTTTGATGGGCGAGTAGAGGATTTTTGGGCCAACCACTTTGAAGGATAGGGACAACATGGCTTCTTCCAATATATTGAATATATATAACTTAATATAAATATAAGTAATTATATTATTAACGCAGCAACCAGAAATTGCCTATAACTAGGCTAATGAACTATAATACTTGGAATTTATGGATTTAAAAAAACTAGTTTTACAACTAGGCTAATGAACTATAATACTTGGAATTTATGGATTTTTTAAAAATTTGTTTACTTATTTATTGGTATCCGAATTATTATTATTATTTGATTTTATAAATAATTAATTTGTTACTGTGAACACTGGTAAAATCAATTCAAATACAACAATATCTATCTGCAAAAAAAAAAAAAAAAAAGTGATAGTCTTTGACCTTCACAGTGCTGTTGTTGGTGATTGTGTTCGGCTTTCCAATTCCAATGAACCGTGACCACACAAAAAAAGTCATTTTGAGCCAATGTACACAGAGCCATTGTCACAATGTGGTGATTTCTGTGACAAAAACAGTCTAGTAATGAGTCTTGGCTATTTGAAAGAACTCCACCAAAGGTTATAAAAGGTTATGACAAGACTGCGTTTCTCTCACTCGCTGTCAAAGTAATATTTCTTCTTTCTGGGCACAGAAAATGTCAGTCTGAGGCATTCAGATTCTACCATTTATTACACTTATTACATTCTTAAATAAAAATGCTCCACAGAACAGTTCTTGCATAGATATCTTACAATACCAATTTAAAAAAGAATTATGAAACAGACCAGTAACAAAAATAAATTTCATCTTCTTCCTTAATAAAGAACATTACCATACTAACATTATATCATACAAATAATAATATTTTAAACACTTTGTACAGCAAAAGAACCAATAAAGAAAAACACACAAGGAAAGAACAGAATAGAAAAAAACGGAGAGGAAGAGTGTGAAGATTACAGGAAGTGAGGGGGTGGAGTGTTAGTGATGTGGCGAGGGAAAGAGAGGACAGTGAATATGAGGGTCCCTGCTCTAGCGAGAAACTACATGCTTCAGCCTACATATGGCAAAATGTCATCCCACTTCCATACAGATAAATCAAGATGGCACATAACTGTTCTATTTTTTCCTTCCTTTCTTTTTCAGATTTGTACCTGCTCTACCAACTGGCGGCTGTCTGCGAGATCCATGTTTGGATAAGAGAGAGAGAGCACCTGTGAAAGCATTGAGGTCTGTTGTTGGCCGGTTGCTCCCTGGTTAATGATGTCTATGGACATTCATAGGTAAGAGAGAGAAGCTGACGTGATAGAGTTTTGAGGAAGTGACCGTGGTTCTGCAGGTGCAGGGTGGGATAAATGAGGGTGGGAGGTGAGGAACGCAAAAAGCCAAAGGGAAAGACCTGGTGAAAACCTTATGTACTGACATATCAAGTTTGGACAAACACGGATACAGACGCACTTCAAGATGCAGTATATCTCAAGACAAAAAAGTGCTCACCTGTTTGTGAGTGACTGGGAACCTTGTGGATGAGTATTTGAGTATATATGCAGAATAGCAGACTTTATTAGGATGCACTGTTGACTAAAAATACCATTTATGTTATGCCATGAACCTACAAGCTTTATCTATTAAGCAGAAGAATGAATTGTTCCCTTGTTCTTGTGATAAGTGCATCTTGAAATGCCACTAAATGTTATGTAGACAATTGACAGCAGTGTCATTTAAACAGACTAAGCTATCTGTAACAATGAAGAGTGTTATGCAGTGAAATGTTGATCCAATACGGAGAATAAAAAATGAAAAAGTTGTCACCTCTGACCTTTTGTCATAAAATTCCCTTGTGATGTTTCAAGCATCTTTTTGTATAAAATTTAAGCTGCCAAAAGCCTCTTTGAAGCTGAAAAAAGCAAACGGCTTGGGAAGGGAGCTTCACTGGAAGAGTGCCCAGATCTAGTACACTTAAAATTGTTCCCTTAGAATGTTTTCAAACATTCTTACTGTCATGTAAAATGCTCCGCCACAGAATTATCTCCGTTTCAAAGTCATACGGAAACTTGCGGTAGATAAAGTGGTCTTCTGTACAGCTAAATCAGAATTGTGTTAGGATTGTGTGAACGATCGCTTTAAATTTGATTTCTGAAGGCATTCCTGACCTGCAATGACTATAGAAGCACTAGAACCGATGCAACTTATTTGCTGCTTGAACTTCACGTTAGGCTCTAAACTCATCCTCAACTTGCCATTCAAACTGTATTTTACAAGCTCACATACTCGAGACCAAATCAATGGTCACCTAGACGTTCAAGAATGAATCATAGGAAGCTGGTGTAGGGCAGAAGAGATAGATATACACAAATGTCTCTCTTTCATCACTCAGCAGTTTATTTGCAAATGTGTAAATCTTTGGGCAAAGTATGCATCAGACATCTGTGCGATTGCCTGGACCGCTGCTGTCGTTCTGAGAGTGAGATATTAGGGGTTTCAAATGGCACTTGATATGTAAGGGGGATATGTATGGCATGTTGCCTGCTAATGAATCTGATTGGCCTATTCCATATTTATTTGGTAACGTCTGGAGCATGTTGGCAATAGAGGAGTATTGTTTGTAGTTTTGCATTTAACATTGCTGTGCACTGAATTTAAACAGACAATATTTATATGTATGTCTTCAGTGTTGATTTGAAGATTGGCTTCATTGTTTGTCGGTGTCAAAAATGATATGAAGCATTTCTTTAGGTTCCTGCATTCCTGCTGTTCTATCCCATATGGTGACTGAAAGAATAAGCAGAATCGTCATTTTGTAGAGTAAAGTAGAGCAGTGAGAAACAAACGTAGCTTCTCATCACTGCTACTTGCAAGTAAAATGGAAATATAACCCTTTCAAAGCTTTAAAGTTGATGTGAAACATGTAGAATGCTGTACACTGTCAATAATTGCCCCATTTGTGGAATTATAGAACATCATTATGACACTGTAGCATTACATCCTGCTTGCTTGCTTTACAGAAACTCATACATACAGTCGTCACATACACAGGCCGCTTCTTGCGGAAAAAAGTGCCACAAACCACAACTGATTGTACATTAGTGGAGATGAACCAATTCACCTCCTGTTTCGTCAATTTTGGCATGACTTTGCATTTCAATGGAGAAAATGACATGGAAATAAAAAGAAATCAACTAAAAATGGCAACTGAAATCTAACGTGTGGTTGTGGTCAAACAGAAGTGACAGCGTGTGTGAGTCTGTGTATGTGTGAGTGTGTGTACGAGTGATAGAAGAGCTGCCTTCAGCAGGCCTCAAACCAAGAGAAAGGCACCAACCCTTCACTCTTAGGCAGTGCTGCACTGAGAGTTTCGGCATCGATCGTTAAGCTCTGGCGGTCCCCCAAGGGATACTCTGGGATCGTTTAGTAGAGTCTGTGATGACTCCGAAACATGTTACCGCTGAAGCGTAATGGCTTTCAATCTCCCTTCCACCCTTGCAGCCATTAAATCAATGCAGAAGAGGAGGGTCAGCAGGAAAACGCCCCGATTGCGACGCCACGACAGGCTTCACAACCTTGGGAACGATGATATATATTTCGTCCCCGCGATTTAGAAGCTGATTGTTAACGGAGCTAGACCTAGGCTCGGTTTAGCAAAAAAAATTTACTCGAGTATATCAACAAGCTCTCGATTTAACGTCTGACGTCTGGATGGAATGCAATCCTACAAAACAACAATTGCTAAAACCCTGCTGTGAACATTTCGATGCAAAACAAATAATGCTGAGAGGCAAGCTGTGCATGTATGTGTGCGAGTGTGTGTATCTGTCTGAAAGAGGCTGCCATGCAGTGTTTCGGTTTAACGCTGTTCATTAACTTGGTAATTATTGTTCTACTTTTTTTTTTTTTTTCTTCTTTAGTTTTTCTCATGAAAAAGCCAAGAGCAAAGAAACCATTCTGTCTGTATTGTGGTGTGTGTGTGTGTGAATTTTAAAAAAAAATGCATTTTCTGTTTTCTGCTTTTTTCCCGTCGAGTAGTTTTGTTTTTATGCTTTTTTTATTTTGTTTTTGAGCTTTTTTTGACCGTATGAAAAAAAGCACAGAGAACATTGAAAAAATCAGTGCAGACAATGGATACGAAACAGGCAAAGTTTGTCTGGGCTGATGCCATCAAGTTCTTTTACATCCTGATCCCAGCAGGTGCTCCAATCTGAGAGTCAAACGTCCTGCCAGCTGCCTCCTCCACTGGCTTCCTCCGGGGCACCGGACTACTACGTTCTTACACGGGTGCCAGTATCAACACAAAGCAAAATAACTTTTTCCAGTGTCAAGAGCGACACACAAGGTCTGTGCCGACATGCTCTGGTTCGTTTTTCCCAGATCAAATCAGAGCAAAGCAAAATGAAAAACAGAAGACTTCTGTCCTTTCATACCAAGCCAGCAATCCCGATCTTTTTTTAGGGGGTTTTTGTTCCTGTCTTATGCTTCAAATGTTTCCTTTCAGTGCCAGATAGCAGTCACTGAACCTTGTGCATACTGAGAAGGGCTCACAGTTCCCTCCCGTTGCCCGTATGTGCACATTTATGCTTGTTCACAAAGCAAGTTTTTACTTTTCAGAAGTTTAAGACATTTCAGCTCGGAAGGAAAACAAACCATCTTTTTAACACTGTCTTAAAAAAAACAAACAAAGGCAAGAAAGTGTCGCTGCGCATCATTTCGGTCGCCCGTGAGGTGACGGGCGTGAAGAGCAGAGAAGAGTTCACTCTTGAGCGAAGAGTACGAGAAGTCAGCACACATCCTGAGCGTTGCCGTATTTTTTTGTTTGTCATTTTTTCCCACGCAGAGCCTACTTCGGGGGCCGGGTGTTGCATTTGGCCGCTTGTTCCATTGGTCTCTCCTCAGAACGTATTGGCAATGTTGTTTTCCGTGTTTGGTTGTTTGCTGTATACGACATAGCTGCAGGTTGGTTATTGTGATGTGTCCTTGGAAAAAGAAAAAGGAAGTTCCAGAATGTACAATGAACATGATTCTCTAGTAGAACCGTTGTTACGTGATGAATGGCATGTGCGTTTCGGTTTTATACATGTAGCGTTGAGTATCCGTTCCATGCTAATGATTGATTTACTGTACACAAAGAGAATGACAGAAAAAAAACGGTGGTGTTTGGCAGTGTCTGACCTTCAAGCTAGCACTCGGTAAGGCATGGCTAATCGCTGATGAAAAGACTTTTAGAATCCAACAACGTTTGCCCACGCTGCCTCACATGTTCCTCCTGGTGATGTTTGCGGCCAGACCCCTCATGTGCACTCAAAGTCTGTTGTGAATGTTCCCGTCTGGGCCGGTGCACACCTGTTCTCCTCTTCGATCTCACTCGTTTTCTTTTTCTCTCTCTCTCTCTCTCTCTCTCTCTCTCTCTCTCTCTCTCTCTCTCCCGTCTCCCTCGGCCTTAGATATGTCGCTTCATGTGCAAAGCCAAGTGATCAGACCTGGAAAAACATCTGTGAAGAGAGAAGGAAAGAGAGTTAGCTTGGATTCACTTAAGGAAACACAGTTATCATCGCACTAAAGAGGGACGCAGTCTGAGTTTCTTGGAAGACGTGTGGCGGCTTTGCAGATGGAACAGAGAAAACAACATTTGGTGTTTGGGGAAAAAATGAATTTTTAAGCATAGCCAGCTTTTTGCTCTAAAACTGGTGACAGATCGTTTTGAATGCATATCTTGCTAATGCAGTTAGCAGGGAAGTCTGTGCTGAGCCTTGTGAAAGATATCATTTTTGGGAGTGCGACCACAAATCACGCCGAGCCTGTTTGAATTAAGAAATTATTTTGAGGCTGGAGGTGAAATGGTATTGTTTAAACTGTGCGGCCGCATTAGTTATGTAGCACTTGAGTCATGGCGGTTGGTTTCTCGTTGTGGGCCATGGGCTTTTTTGTCTCATCAATTAAGCTCACATGTAGCCGCTGCTGATAGGAGCAATACATAAATGTGCTTGGAAAATACAATGTTGCGATGCCATGTCTATGTTACATTTATGCGGCTATGAGGATTCCAATATTACAGCTATAGTTTTGAAAGTGAATCTTAACTGGAATTAATAAAAATTCAGAGTTTAGAGAGTTGGAAAGGAGTGGAGAATTATAGTTTCAATTTGCCTCTGGCTGTATCCATTATTAATTAGTCAAGAGCCAAAGTGTTAACTCCACTGTTGCTTTTTGGATGGGAAGCAGCCAAGATAGAAATTGGGGTGGAAGGAGGATGTACATCTACAGGTAGACACAGTTGGTTTTCAAATGAGTCATCTTGATGATTTTCTATATTATATATCAGTCAGATGGTTTCTGGTTTTCCCCAGTTGCTTTGCAGAATTCTGTTCTGAATGTTGAACAAATTTACAACCATTTTTTCAGTATTTTCATTCTTTCTCTGTATGGCCCTTCAAGAAAATTCCTCTGATCATATTTGCAATGATCAGTCATACTTGTATGCTCAATGAGGGCTTAAGTTCTATGGAGTGTAAAAGCCAGGTTTTAGAAGTTACAATCCCATTAATTTTCTCTATAGAGGAACTGTTTTTTTCTTTACAATTCCATAGAAACCTTTCAAGACAGACCTACCATGAGCTCTGAGGTTAAAGGGTTAGTTCACCCAAAAATGAAAACGCTGAACTCATACGTCATCAACCCGGAGCTGCTTCTGTGTACAACTGTTGGCGCAAGCTACATTAAAGTAATTATTACGTTTTGAATATGGATATTTTTCTTACAAAAACGCATCGATTCACTACAGGAGGCCTTTGTTCACCCCCCGGAGCCGTGTGAGACACTTTTTTTTTAATGGATGGGCGCTTTTTATTTAACTTCTTTTTGACTGAAGCACTGCAACACCTGCTGAGTGGCATTAAACTGCTTGGAAGATCAAAGACAATTTTTTTAATATAACTCTGACTGGATTCGTCTGAAAGAAGAAAGTCATATACACCTAGGATGACTTGAGGGTGAGTAATTTGTGGGCTAATTTTTGGGTGAACTAACCCTCTAAGAAAAAAAGCTCAAAAAATTTATTTAATTGACATTGTCCAAGTAAAAAAGCGCAGTTCACTACTTATGAATATTTTTACAAATCACAAATTTCTACAAATCAGTATTTTTATATTGTACCATTGCTTTGGTATTCACAGTTATTCCCTCATAAAAGCCATATTATATCCATTATTGAGTTTTTTTTCTTCTTATGTTCTAATGTTAATGTTCTAATGTTTTCTAAGTTCTAATGTGAAAAATGAATGGGGAAAAATGTTTCCAGAACCAAAGCCACTAAAAAGTGGGTGGTTACTGTGGCATTGTTAACAATATCCCCAACCATTACCAGTGCTACCATGACAATTTTTTATATTGTTTCATTTTAACACAGCTGGACTGCAGTATTGGCCAATTAGCATCTGGCAGTGGATTCATTTTATGCAAATGACAGTTGTACAATTTCTTTTCAATCAGGTATGTGAATTTTTGGCAGAGCCTGATGACATTGTATATTACATTCAGTTAAATTTTCGTTTGTGATTTGCATCGATCTTGGCGTGACTAGGCTTTTAGGTGTGTGTGTGTGTGTGTGTGTGTGTGTGTGGAGGCAGGGCAGAGTGACTGGACAGATGGTCCTGTGACTCACTGTAAGTGGCTGCTACACCAGCTGGCACACCCTTAGATCTCATAACCCCTCCCCCCACCTCTCACTCAACCCCTCTCAACACCCGACAGGGGGCTGTGCTTGATTAGGCAGGATTAATGATGCCCAATACACTGGTGTGTGTGTGTGTGACTGTGAGACAGTATGACTGTGTATGTGTAGGCTGACTGTATTTACTGTTAGACTGCCCATGACTGTTGCTCCTCATAACCCATTGTGATGATCACACAAACACACGTGCAGTCAGTAATTACATCTAGAAAAGAGAAACAATACAACTCACGCTGTTCCAAACTTGTAGGCCTTTCCTTTTATTTTAATGTTTAAACCTTTTTTAATGTATTTACTTTCTTTATGAAGGTTACCTATTAGTAGTTACCTTTTTTAGTTTCAGTCTACACTGTTTTTACTTAGTAATACTAGTATTACCATACCACATTTGAAAATATGGATGTAAGAATAATTTCACCAAATAATTATTATAGTATTTATTAATCAGTCATTCCGCTTTTATTTTTACATTTGTATATTTAACTTTCATTTATCTTTCTTTCAGTTTTAGTCATTTTAGTACATTAACTTAGTTGTATAGGTTTGGAACAATATAAAGGCGAGTAAATGATGATAGAACATGTACATTTTGAGTAAACTGTCTCTTTAGTTGTGGGTTTAACAATAACTGCTATGGTCTTGAGCAAGACCTTTAACCTCAGGTTGCCCCAAAGGGACCATCAATGTAACTTAAGACAGTTGCAAATGTCTGGCACTATACCAAATTGTAGAAGAAATGCCACATTGTGTGTTGTTCTATTATTGTTTATTCTATTCTATTCTATTCCTATTTCTATTTCATGATCTGATCAGGAAGTTCAGCTCTGTTACTGGACTCACCCCGAACTGACTGGAGGCAGTGCCAAAGAAGAGAACAGTTGCAAAACTGAAGACTATGATGGGCAAATTTGCACGTTTTCAACAGAGTGCACTCTGAATCACCTTTAGCCGCTGGCTTATTCCATCCAGATTCAACTGGGCTTCCTTCCTGCCATCAGACTGTACAGTACTGCCTACTCCTGTCATTCCTACACATTACTCTTGATTGCTGTCCCAGTGAAGAGCAATAATGCTGCACAAGGTCACTTTCACATCCCAGCAGCATCGCTGTTCACACTTGTAATACTTTTTCCACTCTATATACAACACCCATAATGCAATGCACAACTAAAAATGGATGTGCTCCCCAAAGAGATTCTTCAAGGTTTAGTATTAAAATGCTTCCCAGGGAATGATGGGGTCTATCTGTGCGGATTCTGCAGCGGAGCTAAATTGCTTAGGCTAAACTCCAAATTCAGAAGATGCCCTTGTTTATTCCTGACATGAGGGAGAAAGAATTGCCAATGTAGATTTGCTTATCCAAGCCGGCTCCTCCTCCTTTTGTCATGCAATAGCTGCCAAATACTGAGTAATGAGTGTAGGGACACAGATTTCCCCATGCCTTCCCCCAGAGAGTTCCCGTGCTCGGCTGCGCCCGAGGGAAAATGGCGCTGTTCAGGTGTCCGCAGCAGTCTGCAGAACAGAGGCCGTCCCAGCCGTGTCTTGTCCGCTGGGATCAGTGGAGCAGAGAAATGTTCAATGGACAACTTTCAAAAGGCTGTAGCGAGGTTGGTTTGATGCCGACGGCGAGACAGGAAGCTGTGTCTAATTGTGCTTCCACCTGGAGCTGGCTCAGTGGGCATGCGGCCTCCACTGTGTAATTGCCGCCCGCATGCCAGGCCCGAGTGACAGCTTCCTAATACTGTCACCTGACAGGCTATCACTCTTTCTCCCCATGCTAATGCAAATCTCTCTTTTTCTCTGCTGTTCCTGTGTCTCTTCAACTCTTTATCACCAACACACATACAAACACATGTTCACCACTCTGCATCATGTGTCTGCCCTAAAATAGCCCTTAAGATTTAAACGGAGATCCCACAGTCACGGAAAACCTAGAAATATGAAATATAAGGGAATTTGTGATTTCCTGTTTCCTTTTTTCCCTGAAAAACCTGTATTATGTAGAATGTATAAATGTATTTACTGTATGTTCAGCTATGAAATATTTTGTTTGAAAGAAATTTGATCTTTGGGAGTGTAATTGTTATGATTTAAGCAATTTTTTTAAATTGTAACCTAACCTAGTAGTCATGAACAATTCAGTGGTCAAAAGGTGTGGGAACATTGTTTAAATAATTATTGAGAAGTGTGAATCCAAATTTGCATACTTCTATGCACTCAAAGTAAAGTAATTTGTTGGTTAGAGTACTTTCAGAAGACTTAAGGCCCGTTCACACCAAGGACAATAACTATAAAGATATAGTTCTAAAAATTCTTCTCAATATTAAAGGGGTGGTTGACTGTTTTTTTTCTAGGCTTGGTTGTATTTATCGGGTGCAGTCTAACATGCGTTTTTTTTTTCTTTTAAACGAAGCATTAACACATTATTTTTCACATAATTTACCTTTATTCTACACCACTCTGTCTCTTCTCCCATAAACGCGCTGATCATTTCCTGCTTTTATGAAGCCCCTCCCTTAGAAATACATGATGGGCTCAGATTGGTTAGCTGGCCTAGTGTGTTGTGATTCGCTAAACCGCCTCTAGTGCGCGTCTGAACGTCACGCCCCTCACCTCAGCTGCATGTGCTCCGGTTGTATTGTAAATAACGGCGTCGTTAATATCGCTTATCAGTTTGAGCCCGATTGAGAGGCAGAGGATATTATTGAAGAGGATCTTGCAGAACCTGTGTGCAAGCACGGCTTTTAATGGCATGTTTTTTGATTGTTGTTGTCTCATACTTTTAGATACGCTGTTATTTGTAAATGCTACTGCTTATGTTAACTTTTAATATACGGTTTTATTTAAAGCTGATTAAAGGTTTAATACAGTATGGCAACTGCTTCTTTTTTAATAAATCTGCAAAAATGTCAACAATTCTGTTTTTCTGTCAATATGGGGTGCTGTGTGTACATTAATGAGGAAAAAAAAATTAACTTAAATGATTTTAGCAAATGGCTGCAATATAACAAAGAGTGAAAAATTTAAGGGGGTCTGAATACTTTCCGTACCCACTGTATGTATGTGAAGCGTTATGTATAACGCTTCTCATAGCTATGTGAAAATAAGTGTATAAATGGAATAGTTCATTGTTGGAGCTGAGCTGAATGAGAGAGATAGAGAGAGCGAGAGAGATGCAGAGCGTGTAGAGCAGGGGAACACGAGGAACAGTATAAAGAACCTCTGCTTTAGAACATTGATTGTGAAACTTGTGAATTCATTAGAATCGTTAGAAGACAGAATCACGACTCGTATATGAATAGATTTTTACGTGCACCCCTAGTTTTCTCTTCCTCTTCTCTAAAGCAGTGCAGCATGGCCTCGCCCCCTTCGTTGCATGTTCCCGAGGGTGGGTTTTGTTTGGTTTTGTGATGTCACAAACCCGGGAAGTAACTAGTTGTAGTCCCTACGAGCCGTTTTTGTAGGCATTAAACTGCCAGAATTTTAAAAGACGATATCTCCATTTGCATTGAACTTTCAGCGTTGCAACTTTGTAGTTATTGTTTATACTCAAATAGCAACATTACACACTAACGAACGTTAAAAAACTGAAATCGCAATCAACAACTGCTTTTAAAGAATAGCAGAGTCCACACCACAGATATAATGATAAAGGTACAGAGAAACTATATTGTTGGAATCACTTTCAGAATGATTTTTTTCCAGCTGATGAAAGATAAAAACATTGACATCCAATCAGAATCCATCCTGCTATAACAAGCTTGAGAATTTAAAACGGCAGACGAGCTTGCGCTTAGAATAAACAGACAATATCGTTCACTGATGTGGACACTAATATAGTTATCTTTATAGTTCTCGTTCTTGGTGTGAAAGGACCTTTACAGTTTCATTTAATTTCTTTAGACAAAATGCATTTCATTTATCATTTGTCAGCAATAACATCAGAATAATTGTTGGCTTGTTGTATTGACCAGAATTTGAATATCAGTGCATTTCTAATAGTAAAATTGTGATTAGTTACTCTACATAATGTCCTACAAAAAATGCTTACTGTGTGCTGATGTTTCAGTATTCAGTCAAAAACCCCCTCATCAAATATGCTGTGTCTTTCCTCTAGAGCCCTACGTGCATCCATTTCATCCTGTGCCTCTCCCCAGCTCTTTTATATTACTGTTATATAACTCTCTTACCTCCGAATGCACACCCGTGCCTGTAACTTCTCTTTCTCCCTGCACTCAAGCCACAGTGTGGGCATACGCTGTACCGATGGGAGGACGGAAGAAAGTGGAACAGAATGAGATATTCGCAGTAATTCGGTAATGGGTATCACAGGACCAGACTGTGAATGAGTTATTCAGCAGGGAACTGGGCCTGCACTAACTTCCAATGAGCCCTGATGCAGTACGGCTTATGTGCGTGCCATCAGAGAGAATTCGAGAAAACAAAAGTGAAGGGAGGCCATGGGTTCTTTTAAGGGAGAGAGTTTAATCTTGTGGTCTCATAACTTGAAGAAATTTGTTTATGGGCGCTTGAGGACTGTGGACTAGTGTGCTTGAGTGTATGTGTGTGTGTGTGTGTGTGTGTGGGGGGGGGGGTGTTCAAGAACCAAAAAGGGTTAAATATGTGCATACATTTATTGTGAGCTAGCATTGCAGCTTTTGCTGTGTGTCTCTTACCTGTCGCAGTGGTTGCACTTGAAAGGTTTGGCACCAGTGTGTTTGCGGTAGTGCCTCGTCAGTTCGTCGCTTCGTGCGAAACGCCATTCACAGCCTTCCCAGGAGCATTTGTAAGGCTTCTCACCTGCATGCACAAACACGCATCATTTAATCCCTGCTTCACCATTCACACACACCTGTACACAGATGGTGCACCTCTGGAGCGAGGCAGCCGCTGTGCCACTGTAGGGACTGTCAGCAGTTCCATTATCTACATCATTCATTACTGTTTCTCTCAATCACACATCCAAGCCAGCCAATCAGATCGCTTGCTTTCTCTCCCGGTCGACCAATCACATCTCTGTAGCCCAAATCTCCTACATTCTCAGTCGTCGAAATGTGAAAAATGCTGTCTTCTCAGGCAATATATGGAGACAATCGTTTTCTGACACAGAAATTGATTCAATCAAGGGTCATTTTCCATCTTTTCTTAAATTGAAGAGGAGCTGCCTAAATGTGCTCGGTCACCATAACAGAACAAATTCATAACCCAAAGTCAAGTATCCAAAATGAAGCCATTTGTGCTAAATGTTCTCCACCCTCCCAGTGAGCTCTGAAATTCAAATGAAGTTAAACAGATGGGAAAGGAGATACCAAGTGTTCCACATGCCGTATTTTTATGCCTCAGATTTAAAGTATGGCCTTGAGTGAGGTAGGAAGGGGGGTTTCAGCACCCGAAGACAGGGTCCCGGCACAGTTGCAGTGTTCCTGGGGAACAGAACGTGCTTCAGCCTGAGGCCTGGGTGGGAATGGGGAGGGTGTCGATGGCACTGATTCAGATCCGGAGGTGGTAATGATAATTGGGGTCTTAATGACGCTTAATGGGAAACAATGCCATATTCACAGCGCAAGAGCTGCCAGCCTCTCCAGCAAACAATGTGTGCACCAATCTTCCTAACTAGAGTAAGGCTCCATTAAATTTGAAGTTGTCCAATTGGAAATAGTTGTTCACTAAATTGATGCTGACCATGCGTCTAAACTAGGATGACCACCATGTTGGTAATTTATTTATTCAATAAAAACATGATATTAGGCATGTAGGCTCATTTTAATCCTTTAGTTAGGTTTAGGTTAAGTTTTTCAAGACATGAAGTCTGAAAGTTTAAAATGATTGTTAGATTTATTACAATCAGTCAGACAAAGTTGGTAGGTTGCTACGGCATTATGAGCAGTTGTTCGAGCATTACTAAGTGGTTGCTCAGATTTTCCAAGTAGTTCTTTTCTATGGTGTTTGTATCTATGTGTTTCTATGTGCCTTGGATAGGCAGTCCAGATATATAGATGGATGGATTGACGTATGCCTAGACAGATAGATGGATGCACAGATGGATGGATGAGCAGACAGATAGCCAGATTTTTGGTTTTTGATTATTGATAATTAATCAAATTATCTTACTCAACCAATCTAATACCATCCTAACCAGTTTAAACCAGTCTGGACCAGCATAGAAACTCATGCTGTTCTATGCTAGTCTTTCAGCAAGGAAGTGCCTGGACCTCCAGGGCGGACTCTGGATACTGACGGAGAAAATCATAGAGAGGAATGGAAATGATTACAGGCTGTTATTTTCCTTTCTCCTTTTCCTTTTTTTTGTGAGGAAAATATGATCCAATAAGATGTGGAGAAAGTGGAAGGTATTTGCTTACGCAATGTTTCATATCCCAAAAATGTATGCAGTTGATATGAGCATACATATTACTGTAATGAAATCAAAGTTTATTTATCCCGTCTCGTTTTTTAGCTTTATGATGCAAGATGAGGTAAAGGATGACATAATGTCGGGTTTACCACTACATCACTCGGTGGTCCTGGAAGTCTCTTATGATGCAACACAAAGTAACGAATGACAAGGCAGCGGCGACTAGGAAAACGACTCCAAGTAAAATTTCTGACCGGTTCCTCTTTCCATCCCCCATAGACATATTTCTTGACTTTCGATGACAAATAGAAGAGAATTTTTAAATATAATACAATGAACTTGGCCTGTTTTCCACTGGTTCACCTCTGGGAATACTGCAAACAAGCAGCGGGCCTTCTTTGACATCTCTCATCTTTCTCTGCCAGGCAACACGCACACAGACAAACAGCAGGTCAAAGCGCCTTGAGGTTTATTTTATTATGTTTGCCTGTCCTTGAGCTCCTTCAATTTATAAAATCAGTTGGAGAAAATATCGCCACGTCTGCTCTCGTGTCTGTGACTGCTACAAGTGCGCAGGAAGAGCATCTCTGTGTCATTTGAAGAGTGGCGGGGCCGCAGGTGTGAGACGGCAAACGTTTCACACTACACTCACAATAATTGGCCAAAGACCCCCTCACGCTAGCTCCCTCCTTATGCCATAGCCCCCTTCCTCCCCCTCTTTATTTCCTTCCCTCTCTTGCCGTATGACAGCAGCGAGGCAGGCTTGGACCTGCAACCAAGGCAACCATAACACAGGCCAATTATAACTTGGAGAGTCATGGATGCATGATGGAGTCGCCTAGCAACCAGCCGAGAGAGGTAGAGAGAGTGTTAAAGGAGAGAAGACCGAGAGAAAGAGCCATCCAGTCGGTATGCAACCTATGGACACTCCGCAATACCAACCAATTATTGCTCACTTTTGATATGCATGATGTAGTTGCCTGGCAACCCCAACTGTACCCAGAGAGGGTAGGGGAAAGGTGGGATTCATTTGGCATATTGGCACTTCAATTGGTATCTACAGCTGCAAATAATCAACCTATTACAGTCTTTTGATATAGTCTCCTAGCAACGAACCCCCTCCAAAACAGCAAGCTCCTTCCCTCGCACCAGTGTCCTAGGTGTGTACGGTGCGGTTAATTACATTTCCTCTGGACAGAGTGGCGGTAAGCTATTATTGTGTAGATTTCAGAGGTACTGAGTGTTTAGATTTCAGAGGTACTGTCCAATTATCATCCATTTATTTTGTCTTCTCCAGTGGCTCATGTTGCATTTCAAAATGAGCTCTCTAATTCTAACCCACTTTTACCCTCCAAATCCCATTCAGGGATGTGCATTTAACTTCAGCAAACATTGTTGATGAAGCAAAGTAGGACCATGTCATTAGGCTACATGGCTACTCTACACATTTATGAGCATAAACGATCAAGTGCGAATGTGAAAGATTACTTGAGTGACTTCTGACACCTGATCAAATGAATTTGTATATTAAAAAAATCTGAATAAAACTCCCTGATGCAGCTAACCTTACATGCTTCAGTGTGCTTTTGTTTTCTATCCGAGAAAGCGTGGTTGTATTTTTTCAGCATTCTTTGGCATGAGGGTTGTGGATTCTTTTTTTGTAAAGACAGCATCAAGATAAAAATAGTTCTAACGATTTCATACATGTCAAGATTTCAGCATTCTGCTCCATCCGTTTCTCACTGTCTAGATGTTTTTGAACACAATCCATTTTAATGTGAAGTTTTAAAACATTTGGACATGCAGTGTGTTCTTAGGTAAACTTTTGGGATTGCCCAGTCAAATCTAGTCATTAGCTTGGTTGGATTTGTTATTTCGCCAGCTGATTAATGCATGCTTAACAACATCTGTCTCTAACATAATGTAATATTACATAACGCAATTAATATTCATGAGAAAAGCTTTCACCTTATTAGGATTTGTTAATTGCAGTGTATAGATATGTCCAATATCTCCATATCACCTCTCAAGTTATATTAAAATATTCAGTTTGGAAAAAAGTTATGTATGTCTTATTTCTACAGAATTTTGAACATTCTAATTCAATTTTCAGGGTCAGGAGTGCTCTTAAGCAAAAATATGTAGGCTTCGCTTAAATCCTGTTGTAATTTTTACAGAAATGATAACCAAAAAAACAGGATTAAGCCAATTAAAAGAATAAATATGTCTTCTGATAAACACATAATGTGATGAGCCAGCAAGCCAAAATGTCTCTTCAGGGTTTTATTTTCCCTTTTTTTTTTTTCTTGCTATTGCCTATTTCCCTTCATTTTCAAAAGTGAAACTGCTGTCTATACGCTAGAATCAGCCCAAAAGCGATTCGCATCACCAGCACTCACAGGAACCTGCCGAGTCAACAGCTGGCCACAGGGGCCAGATACGCTGCATTGAGGGCACTGTCACAGTAGGTTTCGGGGCCACGGCAGAGTGCAACACGCTCTCAGGTTCAGCGAGAGGGCAGAAACGACGGCACCGGAGCGTGCAAGCCTGAATTAGCTGGGAAACGAGATTTAGCTCAGTCGGTCTATCAATCATCTTGCAATTACTGACTGCACTGGCAGGTTTTGAATGGTGTGGCTGGGTTCATTTTAGTCGGAGATTAAGGTGCAGGAGAGAGAAAACCAGCTATCTTGCTGTGGGGTTGTGCTGCAAAAATCGAGTTAGCTTCACAAGATCTCTTGTGACCCTTCTGTAGTATCAGAGGCTTGGCAAAGAAGATTTTCCAAACTTTGAAACTTCATCTCATTACACGCAGTTAGATTTTATATACCAGAAACCTTACTCCAGGAAATCTAAAAATGCTACATGTGATGCTAAATGCTAAAAAACATATGATGTTATTGGAGCAGTTAATCACCTGTATGTGTCCTCTGGTGTGCCTTTAGATGGGAGCTTTTTGTGTAAACCTTCCTACAGCCATTAAACTGGCAACGATGGACCCTCTTTTTGTTCTCTGGAATGTCCCCTCCGCCTACCGTTCCCAGTCCTCCCTCTCCGTCGCTCTGTGCACCGCGATTTGGTGGCGAAGGTAGCGAATGTGTCGCCACCACCTTTGCCGCCCCAAGACCGACTTTCTTGGCCACCAATTTCAGCGTGAGCGTGCCATCGGCTGTGGCGGTAAGAGTCTGTGTAGGCTTGACAAGATGGCGTCCCAATTCCGGCGAGGAAGGCGGCGTGAGGGACGTGACTGCGTTTAGCTGGGCGGGATTAACCCCTCCGCTGACTTCTTTCAGCCCTGCCACGGTATTCTTGGTGTTGGCTGGGGTATGAAGGTTTTTGGGATAGGATACGAGCAGATGTGGCGGGCTGGGCTCATTGGATAAACCGGGCAGCAGGGGGTCCATCAGGTCCTCGTCGCTGTCTCCCTTCATGAAGGCTGGCGTTAGGAGGCAGTCGAGCTCCTCGTCGAAGAGTTCCGAAAGCCTTTTGGGCTCCGTCTGTAGGTACCTCTCCAGTTCCAGACATGTCTGCAGGAAAAACAGAAATGCATAAACATGAGACGGTAAGCCTCAGATTACTCTTTAAGTCCAGTGATGTTTATAAAGGGAATGCTAACCATCTGAAAAACACTGTTGGTTACAGCTGAACGTGCTACAACGAAACACGTGGCACGTCAGCACATTTCCATTTGGGATTTGGTTCAGTTGGTCGCACCATGGAAGGTGTAAGTGACTAAATCTGCTACATGGAGACTTTTGGACAGAACAATTTTGGAGTGCAGCTGGGGGGCAAGATTTTCTGGGAGAGAAACTGAACATCCGTGGAATTATTTCACTTGCTGCGGTTGAGGGAACAGTATTTATCCATGTAGCATAGCACATTTCGTACGGTGCTTATTGAGCGAGAAATGACCGCCTTATTACTTAAGATACCTTTCCCCTCACCCTGGTTTTTCCTCTGATGAATACTTTAGCAGACAGAGGGAGGACGGAAGAGAAAGACACCGCTATCATGGCTCACTGACTGCTCACTCAGCAGTTTCTTTTTCAGTGGTTTAACATTATTGTTCCCCAGTCACAGTGGCCAGTTTGGATATTAGAGTCTTCTGTTCACGGTGTTGCGGTAAAAGCAATTTAGCAGTCAAACAGCAGTAGAGTAAACCTTCCAACTCTTTACTTCATGTCAGCTGTAAATTACAGTCAATGTACATGCCCTATCTTAACTTATTCTGTCATCTCCTTTACCTCAGACCTAAATAAATCGTCCAAAAAGAAGATTTTGACTAGCATCTGTTGTCTGCTGATAAGCTGCACTTTTTATTCTATTTTACTGAATTGAAATATGCATTTGCATGAGGTCTGAAAAAAATGGAGAATTTTTTTTCCCCCATGTACACAAGAAATTAATGAAATGTTTAACCATTTTAGCAATTTTGCTTATTACTAGAAGAAAATTAACAGTAAGAAAAACAAATCTACATGACATAATATATATACGTAACCTATTCGTTTGATATTTTAGGGAATCCCTCTCAATAGGATCATATTTGGGGTCCTTGGCATCAAGAAGTTTGAAAATCCCTGTACATATAGGCCTTTTTTTAGAGGTTACTGTTTAAAACCTAATGCAGAAGTGTTAGAAACAGTATCAGATTAATTCTAATGCAATGCAATCCCAGCTACTGCTGCAGTAAAATATTGACCATTCAATTAACCTGAAGCCAAATGGTTCCTGTGCACTTTCTCTGACCTCATTAGTGACACCAAAAGAACAGCACTAATACTATAGCTACAATTTGACTCATGTTATGCAATACAGCAGAGCCTTCAACAAAGACTAAAATAACTGAAATGCAGTCCACTGCAGCAGCTACAATTTACCACTGCAAGCTCTCCCTCTGAGCTCTGCATTCATTTATGATTCTGAGCACTACCTGGAAAGTGCATGAATTATCCATACACTGAAGCTTTTTTAGCCATGTTTTAGCAAGCAGGAATTTTAGCAACCGAGAGAGATCATGCACCTCTGGAATTATTCCATTCTTGTGCATTTTGTAGGCCTTATTACTTTAATAGATGCTCTGAGGACGTACCCAACCTGCATTGATAAGCACAGAGCATAAATTCTCTGTGTCATGCAGCTTAAAGCAACATGCCATTGAGAGATGACAGAGGGTTGAAAGAACTTGGCATAAGCACACTATATTTTCACACACATCTGTGCAACAGCATAAAAAAAAACAGAAAATGAAATGTAGATGAGGTGAATCAACTCTTCTGGACTGGCTGCTAGTGTAGAAAACCCCTTCATACCCTGCTTAGATTGTACGCACTGAGCTCCATCTATTATAAATGCAGTGCCAGGGGGTTCACAGGCAGCGCTAAGAGGCAATGTCAGACAAAGAGCGGGCAGAGAGAGGCGAGGGGGAGAATCGCAAAACTGTTATTAGCAAATGTGGATGCAGTCCAAGTTAGACACAAAGGGGAAATTATCGCCAATCTCAGAGTCAGTTCCTCTCACGGTCTCCGCTCCCTGCTTGGATAATAAAGTCGGCACATTATCTAAACTAATGTGTTTATATCTCCACCCGCATCTAACAAAACAGCTTTTTTTCACACCCTCTCTATTTTTGGGGTTGAAATTATGATGATTTTTCGCTCATACAAATAGATTTTAATTAAGCATTTTGGCTTTCATCAGATGTCGTTTGAAGTTCTACCTCTTGATGCAAAACTGATCTCTCCTGTGCTCCTCCCTCTCTCTCTCTCTCTCTCTCTCTCCCTACACAGCATGTGCTGATGACTAATTAGTATATATATATATATATATATATATATATATATATATATATATATATATTTTTTTTTTTTTAAGACCGTAGGAAGCGCTGCTGCTAAACATTCCAAAAATGTTTTTTAGGGTCTAATGCAATAGAAGAACCTTTTTATTTTTCATCCCTGCTGGAAAAAAAAAACATATTAAACCAGCAAGCATGTTCCCAGCCTGCACTAGTTGGTCACCAAGCTGGTCTTCTAGGCTGACCAACTGAAAAGTGTCCCTTTAAAACCAGCAAATTAGCTGGCCAAGCTAATAACGGCAAACCAACCAGTGTTAATTTCGTCAACGAAGACGACGACGAAAAATATTCGTTAACAAACCTTTTTTCTGTGACTAAGACGAGACGTTGATGAGCTAAAACTAACGATGATATAATCTGATGATTAAAAACTATGACGAAATTTATGCTGCGTCTTCGCTAACAAGACGAGACGGGATTAGATTGTTATTTGAGGACTACCGGACATTCAAAATACATCCTATAGGCTAAGTTAACTGTCTTGTCTTTCAAAATATGCGTTCCTGTCATTGGATTGCAATCGGATGACGGGCGTTTACATATCTAGTCTCAGTATGGCAGCCACAGTGGACGGATAGGCTACCAAAACGCGAACTAGCGATCTGAAACAATGACCTCAGCACCTGAAGGGTTAGGGATAGGGTGACCAGACGTCCCGTTTTTCCCGGGACTCACAGTTCGTTGTTGATTAACTTAAAACTAAGAAAAACTTAGTGAAGGCAGGATAGGACGGAATTGCGCTGATAGCGGTGCTTTCTCTCGCGCACACTCCACTTCATCAGTTCTCATGTATAGCGCGCAAATACACACACAGCAGTTCAAATGCCTATCGTGTGAGTATCTCACGTAAATATAGTCGGTTATGGCTTAAGTGAATGTAAACAGGTGGGTGAAAACTGAATGCGTGTCAGTATTACACGCATACCTTCCGTCTTAAATGGACAGCATTCCAAATTAAATACCTATCTGTGTCATTAATGTTAACAACAAAAGATGTTAAATAAATGTATACTTGTTTAGTAAACCTACTGTATCTGAAAAATTTGTTTAATTTGTACCTCTACCAAAAAAAAAGAAAATTGTCATAATTTATTCCAGTTTTTCCAAATTCAATCCTTGATTCAAATTTATCACAATCTTAACTTATTTCGTCTAAAGAGAGAAGAATTAATGACTATTTTTGTTTGAAGACTACATATAAAATAGCTACCAAAATGAATGTTGGTAACTGCAGTTTGACTAAAAGTAATGACTAAAAGTTGACAAAAATGCAATGACTTTTCGTCGACTAAAGCTACGAAAGACTCAAATGACTAAACTGTGACTAAGACTATTAAGACCAAATCAAAAATGCCTGTCAATTAACACTGAAACCTACATAGGCTAGTTGAGCCATAGTACGTTCTACACAAACTGATGCTTCAAAGAACCCAAGAGAGCTTCAGTTTTCTTTTTTTTTCCACCAATATGCTGACCAGAATGACACACAGTGTAACATCAGTAACTTTTTTTGTGACCCTAGTCAGCACAAGAACCATACATAGTCAAAAGGAACCCAAGAAAATGGTTCTTTGATATATGTTAAAGATTGTATGTAATGCAAAAATATGAACAGGTCAGTTGTTCCTTCCTGCAAAACCTGTCTTAAGCTCTGGCAATGTTTTTTTTAGTACAGCACAGGCATTGTCAATGATCTGGCAATGAAATCTGTCTATAATATGCCATTATTCCATACCCTGCCGCATTCATAACAGTTTCCCAGGGTGCTGTGATTCTACCATTGCCATTAGCTCTTTTATGACATCCCCTTGTAAGACGGAATATGTGTCCTTCATGTATTGAAGGGCTTTTGGCCTGTTTGCACACCATGTTCATTTATCTATATTATTTCAAGTATTTTGTTTAGGGATCCGCCATGGCTCCTGCACGATTACCTCCGTAATGACACAACAATTACCCGGGAACCCTCGGAGACCACTTGTGCCAAGTGACACGCACTCGCCATCAACCTCAAAAAGTGTTTCGAAACTCTATAGCCCATAAGGACCTCCCTCCAGGATCTGTCTATCCATGCAATGAGAGAGATACCGAGCCGCCTGCAAATTTGCAGTCGGAGGCATATCCTATCTGTCCCGATGACATATAAACCATCATCACAGCAGGGTGGACATCAGAGTCATCTGAGGCCCTCACCGTCATGGATAGGATTTCACGGATCTCGCGCGCCTTTTCAACCGCTCTCTCTGTTTGGTTCCTGCACCTCGCTGGCTGAGCTCAGCGAGGGGAGCTGTCACTGCTGTCCTGGTGTTGGAGTATTGGGGTGAGTAATGGTGGGGAGGCTGACAGGGGTCCAGGGAGGGGGAAGTGAGTGTGGAAGAAAACAGCTGTCAAACACACACACACTGGAGTGAAGCTTGAATCTCTTCACTTCATCTACTGTCATCGTCCCATCCCCCTGCACCCCCGCTCTGGGACTCCTGACATTTAGACAGTGCAGTTACAGCATGGGGCTGTGCACAGTTTGTGATTTACTGCGGACCTCGGTCTGCGTGTGTGTGTGTTGCGGATGGCCAATTGATAAGTGGCCATAAAACCAATGAACTACAATCTCTTACAAGCAGACCTCCAAACAAAAGGCCCAACAAAAGCATGAAAAAGAGCCTCAGTAAA